AGAGGAAATTCCTCACCACCACAACAAAAGTAGTATATAGTACAGACGGTCAGCGACTGACACAAAGTGCATTTGAAAGCACCACCCCCACCCTATGTAGCCCAGGGAGAGTTTTAACAACATTAAAGTTGCCCTCCATATCTCCCAGGGAGATGCAGAAAGGCCTAATGACAGGTGGTATGTTAATGACATGGCTGCAGTACATATAGTGTGTGGGCATGGCTGGTCATTAATCGCCTCCATGAGCTCCATGGATACCACACTCACTATTGGATAGGCACATACATACACAAGATACAGCATATGGAAACTACCTATGAAATGACATTTTTATAGCAGAATTGTAACATACAGGGCTATATAGGGCATATGTATACATTATGTAACTGCTGAATTATTATTCTGACTGCCCAATACTCATTCCAAGAAGTGAGACACACTGCAGCTCTATATAGTGTAGCCTTTCTTAGCTTTACTGTGCAACGACGATACTGACGAATGCAATGCATTCTTGGCAAATGAAACGCTCGAGTCACACGTGCATGTGCGACAGCAACGATTGCGAAATTTCAGTAACATGTACATACAAGTGTTTGGAATCACATAGCACAATAATGGTCATGTTGGATACATAATTATAGAAGTGTAGCTGCCAATGCAATGTTGCATCCCTAGAGTATACACAAGGAGATTAATGTTGGTGGGCTTCAGAATACAGCCACAATACAACTCAAGACATCTGCACACAGCTGTCCGGTATATACATACTAGCCCACAAGTCTTAAAACCTCTTTCCTGAGGGTGTATTTGCACTGTATACTCCTGCTTGGTCACCATGTCTTTTCAACGCTTGCTCAAAAAATACGAAAATTGTAGGCCACCCCAGGACATACGTAGTCCCGCTATATTTTTCATTTGCAACCCTGAATATGCTTCTAGAGAACACGTTGACCCCAAAATAGTAGGTATATTGTTATTGGGACTATCGAAACTATTATAAACGTGGGCTTATTGTCGCCCAGCAATAAATCTCTGGAGCTAGTTCTGCCGCCCTACGTTACACAGTCAGGGATAGCTGCACTGCATTCTCCAGCTATAGCCAAGGCATTCAGGGTGTTTGGTTGGCCTGTCCTTTCCCCGTCTCACTTGCTAAAAGAACGAAAGATTTAGGCATTGGATCACTATTTGCGCTGCAATCTCTAGCTGTTGTCCAGGTAATCAGGACAGTCAGTTGGCCTGTAGTTCTCCCTACATACCCGGTAAAAGTACGAAACTTTAGGCCATTATTTCCCAGTCACGACTGTTCGTGTCATGGGGCCTCCACTGTATGGAACTAATTATAGTACTCATACGTAATACATTGTATATAAATGTTAGGGCAAGGAAAAACATGAAAGTCAAGGAAACTTTATTTAGATATCGAAACATATACCAAACACTTGCACCATGCTACCTACTATATACAGCTATACCGTAGATAAATATTTTGGTGGGCGAGTGCAAGTAGTGTCCGTAGCGCAACCTTTGAAGTGCTCTACATGCAGCTTGCACATGCAGACTTTCAGTTCAAGTGTAACTGTGTCGATCGATACGAAATAATGAAATATCAGGAGGGTGTAAACCCAAGGCGAGTGCACTTCAACAGTACACACAGGACGATACCTTTCTGAAAGAAAAAGGAGCTGCCCGGCCAGCAGGTGGGACTTTTTGGACACTCCACTAGTGTTTCTAACACAACAAGAGAAAAATTTCCCGTTGCAAAGACTAGGTTGGCCTGCTCCGGGTCGCCAATTATATGCTATTGGCTCCAGTACACTCACTGGTCTTCTCCAGGGAGGTCCTGAGTGAAATAGTAGGGAATCTTGTTATTGGGACCATCGAAACTATTATAAACGTGGGCTTATTGTCGCCCAGCAATAAATCTCTGGAGCTAGTTCTGTCGCCCTACGTTCCACAGTCAGGGATAGCTGCACTGCATTCTCCAGCTATAGCCAAGGCATTCAGGGTGTTTGGTTGGCCTGTCCTTTCTCCGTCTCGCTTGCTAAAAGAACGAAAGATATAGGCATTGCTCACTATTTGCGCTGCAATCTCTAGCTGTTGTCCAGGTAATCAGGACAGTCAGTTGGCCTGTAGTTCTCCCTACATACCTGGTAAAAGTACGAAACTTTAGGCCATTATTTCCCAGTCACGACTGTTCGTGTCATGGGGCCTCACTGTATGGAACAAGACTATCATAGTAATACACTATAATGTATATACATGTTAGGGCAGGACAAACATGAAAGTCAAGGAAACTTATGTAGATATCGAAACAATATCAAACACTTGCACATGCTACCTACTATATACAGCTATACCGTAGATAAATATTTTGGTGGGCGAGTGCAAGTAGTGTCCGTAGCGCAACCTTTGAAGTGCTCTACATGCAGCTTGCACATGCAGACTTTCAGTTCAAGTGTAACTGTGTCGATCGATACGAAATAATGAAATATCAGGAGGGTGTAAACCCAAGGCGAGTGCACTTCAACAGTACACACAGGACGATACCTTTCTGAAAGAAAAAGGAGCTGCCCAGCAGGTGGGACTTTTGCCCGCAACACTCGACTAGTGTGTTTAACACAACAAGAGAAAAATGATATGCTATAGTGGCTCCAGTACACTCACTGGTCTTCTCCAGGGAGGTCCTGAGTGAAATATCGATGAGGTCGGCAGCTATGAACTCCTGCAGCCCAGAGTCGAGCGAGGAGAAGTCGGGATAGACAAACGAATGTCGGAAGAACTGGTCGTCAATGACAGTCTGCTCCTCCTGGCTCGACTCTGTGTTTGCTGATGGCCACCTTGTGGAACCTGTCGACAATGTCGTCTGCCAGGAACGAGAGGCCTCGGTCTGCCCGGCCGATCCTGTTTCGACCGAGCATGTCTCTACGAGTCTCGAACGAGGCGTCTAGTGCAGTGAGAGCGTCGTTTCCTTCCCCTCCCTCCTCTTCCTCTCGCTCCCTCACCTCTCCTCCCTCTCCTCCTCGCTCATAATGGTGGTCTCTGTCACTCAGTGTGGAGTAGAGCTCTGGAGCTGAGGAGATGTGGAAAAAAGTATTATTCATGGCAGGCAATGCATGAAAATGTGTACAGAGATTTAAAGTATGGTGTATGCATATGTATATTATACGTATGTATGTACCTACGCATGACAACAACATGTTACGTTCGTATTTTTGGCAGGAGAGTTATAGATTTGTGTGCATGGCCTATAAAGAACTACGGAGGTGTGTAACGGTTTTAATGACTCTGTATAATTCAGACATGGTGATAATAATTGATCCGAGGTCAAAGTCCAGTGGGTACACCTCAGCACTTAGACACAGGCACTGCTAACCCGGCAAAGCAGAGGTGGTAACCTCCACTTTGCAAGCTAGAACCCAGATTGGTGATTGAAGTAAGTCAACGTAGTAGTCTGAAGAATCACGCAATTTATCTATTTGTCAACGGCTCTGTCACCATACAGTAGTGCTATAAGTAACTCTAAACGCGGCTGAATTATTGGACTCGTGTTTGCTCACAAAAGAATGTATTGTGTTCTAGTAAGTAAGCATGGACTCACGAATCTCATCTTCTGGCTCAACGGCCTCAGTACTATAGAAGCCATCGTACATGGCTAGGGCAGTGTCCAGGTTCCATCCCGCTGCCTCCAGGAGGTCGTGAGCCAGCGCATGGTGAGACAAAGGGGATTGGGAATCCGAAAGCGCAAGCAGACTGCAGCAAAAGGAGGGAAGCGGAGAGAGGAGGGTGAGTGAAAAGGAGGCGTCGGCACGGGGAGAGAGTTGGGGAGAGGAAGATGAGAGAAAGAGGCGGAGGGTGGCTGGGTAGAGAGTCTGGGAACTGACGGACACACACTGAGCCGTCATAATCGTCGCATTACAGATTTTGCGGAGAGAAGGCTGCGGGAGAGAGGTAGAGGGATGAGGAGATAGGAGCGAGTGAGGAGGAAGAAAACCAGAGGATAGAGAGAGACAAATATGAAGACAGGGAAATGAAGCCCACCAACACACTATAATTATGAATGTTGATGTGTATGTAAAAACTTGTCATGTAGCTATATCCCATTACATATAATCATTCACTGAATTCAACCCACCCACTATTGTAGAGCATCTGCCATGAGATAAAGACAAGCACTGAAGTGCAAACCTCGCGCGCACTGTGACGCGCACGGTAAGTAAACGCATGGCCGTACACTAATTGATGGGCTGGGTTTAGTTTTAGCGTTACTCGTGTCTCTTGCAGCTCGCGCAGAGTCTGACGCGGGCTAACTACACTACTAGATAGCAAGTGCGGGAAGCGGTGCGTCCACGCTCCTGTGTGCCTCGTCTGCGTGCCTCAGAACCGAGTACGCAGAGCACGTGGATTGATAGCACCTGCGTAGCCATCCAGTCATGTGGTATGCGATATTGGCTTTCGCCCTGCTCTAGCTTTGCAACGCGAGCGGTTCTCAGAGAAACGACGCACAATAAGTTTCCCTGACCTTCATTGCCCGTTGTAAGCTAGGTCGCCCAGTATTATCCTTTGTGAGACGACACAAACCCCGAGAGAAGTGAGATTGAGAGCTACCGACCAGCAACACACAACACACGAACTGACTACAGCTAACCCTCCGCTGTGCAGGCGCGCCGAGGTTAATAAAGCCCACCACACACAACTAGGTATAAAATCCACACACACTATGTAGATAATCCAACCACACACGATGTATATACAACTCACACCACACACACCATGATATATAAATCACCACGCCAACACACTATAGTAAACCACCAACACACTATGCCTAATAATCCACCAACACACTATGTCTATATATAAAGCCCACCAACACACTATGTATATAAATCCACCAACACACTATATAAAGCCCACAACAACCACTATGTTATAAATCCACCAACACACTATATAAACCACCCAACACACTAGTAATAAAGCCCACCAACACAATAGCTATAGTAAATCCACCGACACACCCTAAAAGCCAACCAACACAACAAAAACACCAACACACAAAAACCCACCAACACACAAAAAACCACCACACAACAAAAACCCACCAACACACAAAAAAACCACCAAAAACAAAACAACACCCCAAACACAAAACAAAAAAAAAAAAAAAAAAAAACAAAAAACAAAAAAACAAAAATATAAGCCACAACCAACAAAACCTATAATATAGGTTAGGCGGAAGCGATATGGGATCTACGCTACATGCCAACCGAAGGGCTGTGGAATTGTTCGGAGTCCCGAGCGTAGCGAGGGAGAAGATTACCCACCATGCCCCGAGGGATTGCAATGTTGCGTAGACACCGAGCTTCGCGTCATAACCGAGTTCTAGGACCGGAGTAGACTATCTGATGGTGTGTGCGCGTTCAAATGGTAGCAACAAGCCGGCCAACGCGGCGCTCATTCTCTCATTCCTTACTTCGGATGGAACAAGACGTTTTTTTACGTGTGAGACTCCGAGGAGACAGCCCCCCGCCCCCGTCAAAAATCGTTTACGTCATCATAAAACGCCCTCATTGGTGGTGCGCGTTTGAAAGGGTTAGCAACGCACGGCAAGGACACCCAATGTGTTTGTGTATCGCCAGAGCTGAAGAAAGCCGACGCTTTTTTCGTGGAATATTGACGTGATTCTGACTTTCGCGAGCTCCGGAGACTGTCCACAGACTTCTTGCAGGTGCAACTACGCATTTTAAAAGAGCTACTTTGCCAGTCGCGCCTTCTAGCTTACATATACCGAACGCGGAATCGGCCGGTTTGCGCAGATAAACGACTTTTGAGAATAGCCATTTTGTACGGGGAGTTTGCTGTAGACCACCTGCAAACGCCATTAGACACCTGAAACGAGGTGTCTATGAAAAATAAACCCCCGCAATTCTGTAATCTGATGGTCAATTGCGCGTGACTGCGGTCTAAGTATATAAATCCACCAACACACTATATAAAGCCCACCAACACACTATGTATATAAATCCACCAACACACTATATAAATCCACCAACACACTATGTATATAAAGCCCACCAACACACTATGTATATAAATCCACCAACACACTATATAAAGCCCACCAACACACTATGTATATAAATCCACCAACACACTATATAAAGCCCACCAACACACTATGTATATAAATCCACCAACACACTATGTATATAAATCCACCAACACACTATGTATATAAAGCCCCACCCAACACACTATATAAACCCACCAACACACTATGTATATAAATCCACCAACACACTATGTATATAAATCCACCAACACACTATGTATATAATTCCACCAACACACTATGTATATAAATCCACCAACACACTATGTATATAAATCCACCAACACACATATATAAATCCACCAACACACTATGTATATAAAGCCCACCAACACACTATGTATATAAATCCACCAACACACTATGTATATAAAATCCACCAACACACTATGTATATAAATCCACCAACACACTATATAAAGCCCACGCGAGAATTAAACGCCACACATTTATATGAGAGTGAGACGAGGGAAAGGAGGGCCATTATAACGGAATCCTTCTTACAAAAAAGGGGTGACTAATGTTATACTGGCTGTACATGTGCAAGCCGTGGTGCACATTATCAAATGTAACACAAGATAAACACGACATAGCAGCATCGAAAAGGGAGACATATCTTTGTAGCAAAGGGGTAGCACAGTTTTCAAAATAAAGAAGGGGTTACTTTCATCAAACACTCCAGTTTTAACCATGTTCTGAATGGGATTGGGATTGCAAAAAGTAGGGACTATCACCCCCTTCCCCTGGGACTCTTACAGTACAATTATGTGTTTGTATAAACAAGACAAGAGTACACAGAACACTTTGTGCCGACTGTCGCACTGGGCTGCAACATCTCCACTTCGACCCACTGCCCAGCTTTACTATGTAACTCTGGGACCATCTTCATCATTACTACGTACAAAGGAAGCTTGGCTAGAGTCAGCATTTTTATATGCACACAACTGAGAGTGGATGTTTACAAGTACACCACATGCATTGGTGTCTGGGCTGCATTTTATCCTAATAAAGCCATGAACAGATTGGCTAATACACCATTAGCTATATACTATACGGCTACTCAATCAATGACCCTAAAAACATGTTTTCACCCCCCAGAGTGAACTCTGCCCCCTCAATTACACAACAGTATACAATGTGCTAGGCAAACACCTTTCAGCAGCTGCTTTGCAGACTATGTACTATAATACTGCAATGTGGCACGTGCTAGATGTGTAGTAGGGCAGCAAACAAGATTTACTGCCATCACTTAGGTATACAGTGTATGTGGATACCAACACACACTGCAACGACAGGTACTCAATGCTAGGACGTATACAGCACAGTAATCTCCAGCACTGGGGTCATTCAGTACATAACCCTCAGGGATCCAGTGACTCTGAGGCTTTATACTACTGTTTTCGGGCCCTTCTTTGCATGTAAGTTAGCTCGAACCGCCCCAAGAGTTGCTACACTGGACGACACCCCCACACCTTCAACTACCGCAGCTCCCAGTGAGCTAGCTGTGCACTGCCTTTCTCTCTCTCTCTCTCTCTCTCTCTCTGCTCAGATCTCACCTGGACTAGGTAGAGAACGGTCGTCAGGGAAGGCACGCGACCCTCTGCAGGCTGGATCCCGGCCCCCGAGTCTCCAGCACAGCCGTAGAGAGAGAAGACAAAACAACAGTCAACTCGCCCCTGAAACTTTGCTGTCGTCACCTTGTTTTGATCATGTGACATCATACAGTTATCATGTGACCAGTGTTCTTTCAAGTGTCAAGACGTACGTGTGAGCCATCTCTTTCTTCTGAGTAACAGGCGCTGGAGGAAGGAAAATGTTCCAGAGAAAGGGAACGGTATCCAAGAGCTCTGGCCCAGGTCTCCAACAGTGCACGAATTAGCTGGTTTACAAAGCTGGGAAGCAGCAAAATGATACCTGGATATACATCACGGCGTCCACCATGGCCGTGTGTGGTGTATATTCAGTACCTACGCAACTTGGAATATTATTTGCCATAGCTAGAAGCAGTTGGGCAGTGTCAAGGCAAACACATTTGGCTAGTCAAACATTGTACCCTCGCAATAGTTCGTTTACTTGACCAGTTTTACGATTTATTTCTCTCTCTCTCACACACACACAGTACACGTGAACTCGTATGCCCTGAGGGGAGTGCCGATCAGATACACTCCACCGTTCTACCTGCCAGACCAGCTGACCCTCCCTTCCTCGTGGACCCTCCCCACCTTTCCTTCTGAAGACCTCTTCAGAGTACGTCTAACTACTGTATACTGCGTGTAGTGTATAACTTCAATAGGGAAATTTTCATGATCGTAGTGTTTCAATGCTTGCATTTGGACCCATAGAAATGGTTTTTCAAACCTTCTCCCGAAAATGCTATATACACATGTAGTGTGGTCCCACTGGAAAGAGAATGGTCATGTGCTATTGTAATTGCACATTATGTGAACATTGTCACTAAGTACTATGGTACCACTTGGTATTAGGGTAGAATGTGGTGTTTGGTCACAGTTTTACTGCGCTAGCTCTACGGATGACACGGTTGCATAATGCTCCGTAATGCATGTGGTTACAGAGCAAGCTGCCGGGGTTACGTATGTATATACTCCATTTGATGGACAATGTAGAACATTGATAGTAGTTTTGTACTTATACACGTCCAATAGGTAATGTAGTAGGCAATTCTTCACATTAATATCGTCATCACATTGTAGTATAGCTGTAACTAATGTTCGCCTCTCTCTCCTCACCCCTCTCCCCTCCATACCACTCATCTGCTCTCTGTTTTCACGTGTAATGTCCTCGAGCTGTAACTTGTAACCAATGCACCTCTCTCTCCATTCCCCCTCACTCCCTTGCCCCATATCTCAGTATGACTACACCAAGGAAAAGAAGGTTCTGGAACAGGCCAGAATAAGGACCATCTCCCTGGCAGCTGAGGCTCAGGCTAGAGAGAAGAGGGAAAAGACGGAGGAAGAGAAACAACGCATAGAAGCCGCTGCAGCAGCCGAGCGAGCAAAGTCACAACCTCGACAGCCGAGCTTCCCCCTCCCCTCATCCCCTCCCCTGCACAACAGCACACATTCACAAAGACTCCACCCACTAATAAAACCGATGCCTCAGAAACCCAGCAACCTGAAAATGGTGATTCCAGTTCCGCTATTCACATCAAAGACTTCGGGAACATCATGAAGCCACTGGGTGAAATGAGCTTCAGCGAGTTTGAGTCTGACAACTTTAACCCCTTTGATACTGCGAGTCTCCAAGCCATAAACGACATGGAGATACTTCAGACGATTTCGCTGGCTCCGCCTCCTCAAGGGGATTCCCCTCCACGACCGAGTGGTACCACAACTGTTGTACAGAGCGAGAGAAATTTGGCCGGCCATCCAGGGGTGCCCCTCTCATCTTATGCGGCTCCAGTTAGCGGCACTCCGATCTCTGTGGGTGGAGCTCTGCCACAGGGACCCATCCAATTTCCGGGGTTGCCCCTGCCACCGATTGGCGGGCCGGCATCGCAGCCTTCATTTGCTCCTTCTACCTCTAGTGTACTTGGCGCTAGTCCAGGACAGACACAAATCTCCACTTCATCCTCTTCTAATGTGCAACTTCAAGTGTCCCCCCTCCCACACCCCTCCCTCCCCACCCTCCCCGTCCTCCCACCGATCGCACCAACCTCACATCCTCACACTCTTACCCCACCCACACCTCGACTCCCTCTTCTTCAAACCAGCAACCAACCCTCTCTTCAAGTCAACCTACATACCCTTTTCCCAGGCCACAGGGCACACTTCCCCAACCCTCTTCCTCCTCTCCCCCCAAACCCACCTCAACTCCACACCCTCATCCCAGGCCACAGGGCACACTTACGCAACCCTCCTCCACCCTCTCCTCCACTCCTGTCACCTCCACACTCCCTCAACCCTCCCTTGCTTCGTACCCCTCCATAGCTGCTCTCTCCTTCCCCCAACTAGCACCACACAGTTTGCCCCACCAACAGGGAGCAGTCCGACACTGGCTACCTCCTATCTCCCAGTATCTGCTGCAGCTGCTGCTGCTAGTGGAGGAATCCGCAGTGACTCAGGTGGTGGTGGAGGTACAGGGACTCTGTTTACTATTGGGGGAGACACCACGACCTCTGTCTCACCTCCTGTACAGCAACAACCATCTCAGACGGTTGGTTTACTGCACACTAAATTGCCAGAAACGCAGCTTTTTACGTATTTCTAGCGCTGGCTAAGGGAAGTCAGTGTACACGTACATAAGTGTGCACAAAAGTGAATAAAACTTTCTCTCTGCAGCCTCCTGTGCCAAAGCCAAGAGCACATGCTGCTGCCGGGCAACAGGTTCCAAATAGTGCCCACCTTCCCTACCATCCAGTTCCGGCCCCTCGTTCCCATCCCTCTCCTGTAATGACAGGGGCTGCCCCAAAACCCCCTCCTGCCAGGCCTTCTGTACAGGCTAGGTATATACATGTATATGCAGTGAACATTAGAGCTATATGTACATATACGCTTGAAGATACATCAACTCGCACGATTTTGCTGTCTTTTTCTGATATCCACATGGCATCCGAGCTCATGAAACTGCATGCAAATTTGTCATATCGTGTGATTTTGCTGTCTCTCACAAGATTTATAACCTTGTTACACTCACACGACAGTGCGTTGTCTCAAAATTATCAGCTGCATATCTCAAAATTCACATTCACTTCCACTGCATTTATACCGTACATACAGAAACTCACCCCACATATACCATTGGAATAATAGAGAGAAACACTATTTCTGAAGCCGCCGCAATGGAGGTTTTCAAAGCAATTTTAGAGTCACAAATTGTGGTCCTCAACACACAATTGCTCATGCAGAGCTCACTTTATTTCAAGTCATGCTGGATATTATACGTATAGTATGCTCTCCTAAAACACAATTTTTAGCGCCACCTAATTACACGACGTGTTTGAATGTGTCATATCGTCACTGCAGAGCCAGCAGTCTGATGGCAAACCTCCCTCAAGGCCAACCTCTTCTCTCGCGACCTGGTCTTGGTGTGCCAGTCCTCCCTCCCATACCCCCCCGCTCCTCCACTTCCCCCTCCTTCCCCTCTTCCCACACATCACCACCCTCACATCCTCCCTCCTCCTCCCCTCCCTGTCCCCCTCCCTACCAACGGCAGTCGTCACCCACCGGGGACGGAGGAAACCGCTCTGGTTCTCCCCCTCCCCCCTATTACCCCTCTCCTCATGGAGCTAATGACAACAGGAGGTTCTCCCAGCCTGTCCCTCTGCCCTCTCAACAGCACACTCCCTCACACTTCACTCTACCTGATCCACAGGTATGGTTGACATGCAACTTTATGCTCTTTGCTACTAAATTTTGTGCAAGTTTCACGAGAATTTTTTTCACGAGTAAGTTTTTTAGAGTGTTACGTAATAATATATATAGTTTGGTGAAAATTCTTTCACTCGACCATGTAGTCCATAGTATTCTAAACTCCTGTGCATTTGAAATGTAGAATGCGCTATTTTCTGAATCCACCATCTTTTACCATTCAGCGTAAGCAGCTGCACCTGTTCGAATTGCCTGTCTGTTGCAAACGTTTGTGAGCATGAGACACCGTCCTCTATCCCCTCTCTCTCTCTCTCTCTGTTCTCAGTCGAGTCTGTCTCCTGAGCAGAGGTCACAGGTGGAGTCGGTGGCTGGTATGGGGTTCCCCGCTCCTCGTGTTGCAAGAGCTGTGCGGAGGTTCAGTGGAAACCACACTCAGGTCTCTATGTTCATACTGTACAGCACTGGTGATTCTTTAGTCCCATTCATTGGTGTCTGGTTGAGTGCATACTGTGCCATAGCATAGTGGCTTGAGGTGTTAGCCTGTGTTTGTTCTTGTGCTGTGTTGAAGATTTGAACCCCTACCAGCTGAGTTGCCCTTCTTGCTCAGTTAGGAGAGCACTCTTCTAGACTGTAGAGTGTGGGTTTTGCCAATGCAGCTCTTTTTTTTCTTGGAAAATAGAGTTGTCCTGTGTGTAGTTGACTTGTTTGCTTAATCCTTTGCCTTGGCCTTGCTATGTACCTCGTTGTTGCTGCATGCCACTGTGTATTAGTGTTCCACTGGAAAGTGATCATTGGTGGTGCTGCAGGCTTCTTGTTGGCTCTATTAAGGCGCTTTCTTCTGTCCCATTGGTGTTCGGATTTACAGAGTGCATGTAGTTTCTTTGTTGAAGAAAGAGTCACACTTACTGTTAGTGATCATGTGCTGCAGGTGGTGGACTTCCTGATATTGGTGGGGGGACTGGAGGAGAGCTGTCGCAGTAAAGGAGACAGTGCTGAGATGGCACTAGCTGTCTCTGACAACAATGAGGAGAAGGTATACCTTATATAGACACATTGGTGAGGTATTTTCACGGCAAAACTGTTCAAGTAATGCAGTAAAATGCAAGTACTCAATGATGAGTCTCCAAAAATAGACTATGCTCACACCAAAACTGAACCACTCTACTCTAAAGTTCTGTATAATATAGAGTCACATGTACTGTAGTTTTTCAACGTGTGTGTCAGCCTTAGTACAGAGTCTTCAAATGAGTCTTCCAGAAACTGACACAAAAACTGAGCCACTCTTAAATACGGCATATAGAAAAGAGACACGTGCTGTATCAAAGTACAGCCTTAGCAACGTGTGTGTCAGCCTTAGTACAGAGTCTTCAAATGAGTCTTCCAGAAACTGACACAAAAACTGAGCCACTCTTAAATACGGCATATAGAAAAGAGACACGTGTTGTATCAAAGAAGTACAGCCTTAGCAACTTTTCAGTGTGTTTGTGCAGTCTTAGTGTGTCACAATGTGCAGGCTTAGCACTGTTTTAAATGTGTGTGTGTGTTACAGGCCAAGAGGTACCTACAGAAGGTGGGCTACTACAGAGAGAGTGGGTTCAGTGAGAAGAGTGTTCACGAGGCCTACGAGAAGGCAGGCAAGGACTGGGACAGAGCTCTCGACATACTCACCCAGCACACTTCATAGCTGATATATACAGTGTAGCATCATTCAACGTGTAGGCCTATGGGTTTTTGTGTATAAATTGCTGTGTGTAAGTCACGGTACTTACTGCGCATGCGTTGATACAAGGACGGCATCTGTTCTCTCGAGCCACTGTCAAGTGTTCGAGCGTCCAGTGTGACACTGCAACCGATACGTCTGGAAGATAAGAGAAGTGCGCACCGCGCTGTGTAGCAGGAGATGGAAGAGACGCACATGGAGATAGACGACTCGTTGTACAGGTGGGTTTGCTCTAATTAGTGCGCACCGTCCCGTAAACCAGCACTCCCTGGACCAACAGTCGTCAGCGCTATGTCCTGGGAGACAGCGCCATGCACAAGATGGCTCGCTCCACCGTCTTCATCAGCGGCATTGGAGGCCTTGGAGTGGAAATTGGTATGATCTAAATTGCAATAGCTCTGCAGTATCGACTAACTTTTGTCCATGCAGCCAAGAACGTAGTCCTAGCGGGTGTAAAGGTGAGTGCCGCAGTGTTGTGTATGGTTCAGCAGTCCAGAAGGTCACTGTGCATGCCTGTTTGTCTCTGTCTCCTTCACTTATTCTTCTCTTCTGCGTTAATGGCGTTGAAATTGTGCACCTTCTTTACTAAAAGAGCAATTTGAGAGACAAAAGGTTCGCAAATTATTTGCTCCGCCATTTAAAATTCTCCCTGCGTCCACAAAAGTTTGCGGAGATAATGTTCATGGACGGACAGACAAGACACGGAATTTGCAAAGTTTTCCCTCTTGAAAGTCTCCCACTGTGCAGTAATAAACAGTAATACTCGGGTGGCTGCCATCCCACTGTGCAGTAATAAACAGTAATACTCGGGTGGCTGCCATCCCACTGTGCAGTAATAAACAGTAATACTCGGGTGGCTGCCATCCCACTGTAAACAGTAATACTCGGGTGGCTGCCATCCCACTGTGCAGTAATACTGTCTCTCGTTCCTCTCTGTGTGTGTGACTAGGAGGTGGTGATACACGACAGCCAGCCAGCCACAGTCTCTGATCTTGGCTCCCAGTTCTTCCTCAGAGACACCGACGTTCGCTCCTCCACCTCCAGGTATATACAGTGTAGTACACCCCTTGGCCTTTTCCTTCATGGGAATTTGCTGGATGCAAATATCAATGCTTCTGATTATGGAGTACGAGTGCTACCATTCAATGTTGTGAAATTTCCATCCAGTGCAATTTTAACACTCACTTGATCCCATTTGCTGGACGCAATTTCATTGCGAAATGTTTGTTAAATTTGTGGACAGAATAATTGCTCTAAGCATAAAATTGCCGTTTCCGCATTCCAAGCTTCGCGTAGTATGGCAAAATCTTTCTTAGATAAAGTACTTGGAGTACAGGTGCTAAAATTTTGCACAGCTGTAAGTAAAATGGTTGTACTTAAAATAGGAAATACGTTTAAAAACGGTGAAATGTTCTCTAATATGACACCGATAGAATATTCATGTTCCATGATTGTTGCCCACCTAGTCATTAAAACCCTTTGGACGCCATAGGGATCTTCTTAAATAAGCAGAATTTTATTTATAGAGTATTAGCGTCTAGTATTATAACCCCATATAAATTATTATGGAGACTCTGGACACATTTACATGTATGTGTCCGCGGCTGGTTAAGTGTATTTCACTGCCATTATACAGGGCAGAGGCAAGTCTGTCGCGATTGGCTGAACTTAACCCCTACGTGACTGTGTCTCTGTCTACTCTCGATCTCACTGTGAACTCTGACCTCTCACCGCTCAGTCAGTACCAGGTTAATATCCACGACCGCTGTTTGTTCATATTTGGCCAGGCGAGAGCGAGCTAACCTACAGTAGTAGTCCGAATGGGAGATTTTTCTATTAACGGGTGCTGTTGTTGGTGTGTATATACATCCAACTAAGCATACACTTGAATTACGCACTTCTTTTAATGTGGAATATTTCTACACCTCTTGTCCTCTCCACTCACCAAGAATGCCCTCCGTGGCGTACCGACATATCCCTATTCTCTTTTTCTCCCAACTCTTCTCCTTCCCTCCCTCACCTGCAGTGTGTCATACTAACAGACTGTGACCTAGAGCTACAGAAGACTGTCGACAGATTCTGCCACTCCCACACTCCTCCAATTATGGTATATAGCTATTGTGTAATCTCATTCTCTCTCTTGGACCTACATACATACGTACATGGTATTTTAAGGCACATTCTGAAAAAAAATTGCACTCCATCTTTTAAAAATTTGTGCCTCAAAATTGTGCCACTATACATCTGCAGGTGTGATTCTTCGACATTTTTCACGCTACAATGTTAAGTTACAATCTTGCCTCCTCCTCTCCCATGTATGCAGTTCATATCGTGCAGTGTTAGAGGTGTGTTCTCCAGTCTGTTCTGTGACTGTGGTCCCGAGTTCACTGTGGTGGATCCTACCGGGGAGGAGCCTGCTCAGAGCTTCATTGCTTCCATCTCCCAGGTTTTACCACACCTGTCACACTTTCTGCATTGCTTCCATCTCCCTGGTTTCTCCACACCTGTCACACATCCTGCATTGCTTCCATCTCCCTGGTTTTACCACACCTGTCACACATTCTGCATTGCTTCCATCTCCCTGGTTTCTCCACACCTGTCACACATTCTGCATTGCTTCCATCTCCCTGGTTTCTCCACACCTGTCACACATCCTGCATTGCTTCCATCTCCCTGGTTTTACCACACCTGTCACACATTCTGCATTGCTTCCATCTCCCTGGTTTTACAGCACCTGTCACACATTCTGCATTGCTTCCATCTCCCTGGTTTTACCACACCTGTCACACATTCTGCATTGCTTCCATCTCCCTGGTTTCTCCACACCTGTCACACATTCTGCATTGCTTCCATCTCCCTGGTTTCTCCACACCTGTTGCATAGCCTTGGAGTTGGTAGTAAAACATAAGTTAGTCAGCCCCTCGGTTGAAATTTACACAGCATTTCGGTGCTTTACTTATAGTAGAGACCTTGATATTAATGTTCTGTAGAAGTGTGGGCCTCTATGATGGATGTGTAATATTTGACAGACTCGCTGTCTAACTATACTATATAATGAACGCAACACATTTCCACACAATATTTATACTAACAAACACAAACGTGAAATTTCAATTATGGTGACAGGCACTAACGCCAAATTGGCGTGTGTTCCATTCCAGGCCAACCCTGGCGTGGTGTCGTGTCAGGAGGGACAGCTACATGGACTGGTGACCGGAGACCATGTGGAGTTCAGAGAGGTTGTCGGCATGGAAACACTCAATGGAAAAACATTCCCTGTTAAAGGTTTTATACTACTACACACACTATATACTAGGAATGCGCACGCGCATATTTTGCCTCGCGCCTGCCAGCCAACGCGTAAACAGTCCGACTGAGGCTGCTCGTGCACGCGCTCTACTGACTGCGCGCGAAGCCAGACTTCCTACGAATCTGCGCGCATGGCAGAAGCTAGACTTCCTACGAATGACGGAAGTTGACATTCCTAAGCGTGACTAATTGACATTCTTTAGCGTGACCGACACTTACGTACGCATATCGCGAGAATACAACCCGGATTAGTTATGTGTACTGTCCCTACACAGTTGTGTCTCCTAGTCAGTTTGCCATATCATGTGACACCAGTGGACCTGACTTCACGCCATACCAACATGGAGGAATTGCCCGCCAGGTCAAGGTCCCCAAGACCCTCACTTTTGTAAGAAATTCGCAAACAATCACTTCATTATTTGGGAGTTAAACTACGAAGGTTTACAGTAAATACACACGATGTCCATATATAGTCTACTCTTTCCAGTTGAGGTCATCCCTAGCTGCGAAAAACACTGAGATTTAAAAAATGTCAATTATTGCGCAACGAATTTTTAGAGTATATTGTACTTTAGTAAGTAGCAGAAGACTGAAAGACAAATTTAGCGATTTACAAACGACTAGATAGTACAGTCAAAGATTTAATGTTCTTCACTGCTAACCTCTGGGGAAGTCGGGAGGAATAATACCATATGTACAGTATGACATTGTATGTATGTCCCAGAGCCCCTAGAGAGCCAGCTGATATTTACAGTATGACATTGTGTGTATGTCCCAGAGCCCCTAGAGAGCCAGCTGATATGTACAGTATGACATTGTATGTCCCAGGAGCCCCTAGAGAGCCAGCTGATATATGACATTGTATGTATGTCCCAGAGCCCCTAGAGAGCCAGCTGATATTTACAGTATGACATTGTATGTATGTCCCAGAGCCCCTAGAGAGCCAGCTGATATTTACAGTATGACATTGTATGTATGTCCCAGAGCCCCTAGAGAGCCAGCTGATATTTACAGTATGACATTGTATGTATGTCCCAGAGCCCCTAGAGAGCCAGCTGATATTTACAGTATGACATTGTATGTATGTCCCAGAGCCCCTAGAGAGCCAGCTGATATGTACAGTATGACATTGTATGTATGTCCCAGAGCCCCTAGAGAGCCAGCTGATATTACGTATGACATGTGTATGTCCCAGAGCCCCTAGAGAGCCAGCTGATATATTATGACATTGTATGTATGTCCCAGAGCCCCTAGAGAGCCAGCTGATATATTATGACATTGTATGTATGTCCCAGAGCCCCTAGAGAGCCAGCTGATATATGACATTGTATGACATTGTATGTCCCAGAGCCCCTAGAGAGCCAGCTGATATATACAGTATGACATTGTATGTCCCAGGAGTCCCTAGAGAGCCAGCTGAGGACCCCAGACTGTCTCCTGGTGGACTTTGCCAAGATGGAGGCTCCAAGTCAGCTGCACACTGCCTTCATGGCCCTTCACCAGTTCTCTCTTTCTCACGACGGAGAGCTACCCAGGGCAAGGTCTCTTGTACTGTACATTGCTGCTGTAGTAATGTATAGGTAGAGTGGCTGTATATTTACTTCTCCCTCTCACGACGGAGAGCTACCCAGCGCAAGGTGTATATAGCCTCTCTTGTACTGTATATATACTGCTGGTTTACTATAATTATAGTAGTAGGTCGTATATTATTCACTATAGTGTGTGCTCACCTGTGCAGGAGTGAAGCTGATGCTGAGGCTCTGGTTCAACTGGCAAAACAAGTCAACTCTAACCTCAAACTAGTGAGAGCCGTAAATAAAAACCTTTTGCAACAATAGAGCTGCCCTGGTAGCAAAGTAGGAAGAGTGCTCTGTGGTGTGTCATGGGTTTGAATCCCACCCAGGGCAGCTCTAGCTTGGAGGAAAGAGCTGTCATGGGTGTTATTGCATTCGCCTTTGATTGTGTGGTGCGATTTTTCTACATCTGTACGTCGTCCAACTGCACATGCGTCAGGATTACTCTCTTCTTTTTATCCTAAATAAAACATTTTTCATGCTGCCTACATCATCCAGACCACAGCTCGCAGCAATGGCCTTCATTAATCTACTACTATTCTATCTCTGTGTTAGGTAGAGGAGGTTGATGAAGGTGTGGTGCGGTGGCTGGCACTCACGGCTCGAGGCTGTCTGCCTCCTCTTGTCACCGTCATTGGAGGGTTTGCAGCCCAGGAGGCCATCATCTCTCTCACTGGGAAATTCTCCCCTCTTCAGCAGTGGGTGAGAAGGAAGGGAGGAGGGTGTAATTTTAATGAGGGGAGGGAATTTAATATTAGCACACAGAACGTACTGTATGTGAACATAACCTGATCACCCCTCTGCCCTAATGAGTTTGTGGATCAACCATAGAATAGTTGAGTTCTTTCATTGATGATTGTAGAAGTCTGTTCAGAGGCAATGTTTCATAGCAGTCTTTGTTTCGTGATCCACAGCTGTATCTGGATGCAGTAGAGTTGTTGTCTGGTCAGGAGAAGTTGGACCCTCAGACCTTCATGCCTAGGTAAGTACTTTTATGTATATATACATGAGTTCACCCCTCCCCCTCCCCCTCACCCCCTCCCTCCCTCCCTCCTTCTCCAGAGGTGACAGGTACGATGCTCTCAGGATCTGCATTGGGCAGGAGATGGTAGAAAAACTGGCAAATCTCAGACTTTTCATGGTCAGTTACTTCCTCATGCATCATGCGTGATCTTTCACTCACCATCTCACTCGCTTATGAATACGTATGCATGTATAGTGTGTGAACTAAAAACCTGACGGAATAAGCAATCTGTAAAAATGCTCTTGACAAAATTGTCAATTTAAAATTTTCCTGTTTTACTGTGTGTTATATGTGTGTGTGCAGGTAGGGTGTGGAGCCATTGGGTGTGAGATGCTCAAGAACTATGCCATGTTAGGAGTGGGCCGTAGACCCAACGGAATGGTATGCCACTATTGAATCAATCGTCAGTAAAACCCTGTAATCTACTAGGGAAGTGTGTCCTATCCCTTTCCCTCCCCCACTTACTGCCAAAACGTAAGAGGGTTTTAACCATTTCACTGCAATCTCCAGCTAGTGTCAAGATAATGATGAGGGTTGGTTGTCCTGTCCTTCCTCCAACTTGCTTACGAAAAGTACGAGCGGTTTAGCCCTCTGCAGTCACTTCAGCAATAGTCGGTAGAATAAAGGTGGTGGCTACAAAAAAGACGAATGTTATAGTTGACTCTAGAATTTATCATACTGTACCTCATTTTTAGACACACTTGTTGAAGGTTTGACCTTTTTTGTTTGTTGCAGGTGACCATTACAGATAATGATCTGATTGAAAAGTCAAATCTCAACAGACAGTTTCTATTTAGACCACACCACATCCAGGTAATGCCCATTATACCTGATGCGACTTGTTTCAGGGGGACAAAGTTCGGCATGTAACTTCAAATGTATGAGTGTGATGGATCCCTGTTTCATGCAGTACTGACCTCCTTCTTTATTTATCAACCTCTGTTAGAAACCAAAGTCAGTTGTGGCAGCTAAATCAACGTTGGAAATCAACCCAGGTTAGCAACTCAACTTACCCCTACGCACAAAATAAGCCACTAAGTCTTGTAAATTTCGGCCAAATACTCCTATTCATACGCATGTGTGTTGTACAGGTATATACATACGTACTTTAATCCAAATTTTCTGACTTTTATAATCTGATGGAGTGAAGGCAGGGGAAAAATCTGTACAAATTTTGCGTTACAACTGCAGTATCTTTCTCTTACCCACTGTTTGTATAATAAGCGTGCCGTACAAGATATTTCAATTTGATGCTGTGCATATCTCCTATGTGTGTGTACACAGACCTATGTATAGAGGCCCAAGAGTCCAAGGTTCACCCCGCCACCGAGGACAAGGTGTACAACGACGAGTTCTTCTCGCGGCAGGATCTGGTTGTGAACGCTCTGGACAACGTGGAGGCCAGGAGATACGTGGACAGGTCAGAAACCGCCTCACAATCTATTGGCACCCGTTCTGAGTCATGTGTTTCTAGGGTGAAATATTTCCCGTTTCATGTTTCAGTAGCAGACACAAATACGGGAAGCGGCCACTCTTTGAAGCACTAAGACAGTTTACACAATAGCTATAGATGAAAATAAGACTATGTCCAAACTTGCGTGGGACAACAAATGTGCACGGAACACTATTAGTTCCTTTTCAGCTTGTATCTGTTGTGTGATTGAACCCCCCAGTGTGGTTATTGTGAACCGGGCAATACGTTTCATTTCTTTTCCAACCTTCTCACCCTCCTCTCCTCTCTCCCTCCTCTCAGTCGATGTGTCAGTAACAGGAGACCACTGTTGGAGTCGGGGACCATGGGGGCCAAAGGTCATGTCCAGGTCGGCTTGTAATACCCTTTGATATTTGTGTTTCACTGCCACTCATTTGGGGTCATGAGATTTCCGCAGAGTCAGTGATGAAGTGATTATATAGTAAAATCATTGGTGTGTGAAAGGTCATCCTCCTTTGTGTTATTCTCACAGCCATCAACCACCACATGCGTACATACTGTAACAGCTGAGTTGCCCTGGTAGCTCAGTTGGTAGACCGCTCGCCTAGACTGCAGAGTGTCGTTGGTTCGAATCCCACCCAGGGCACAAGAAAGAGCTGTCCTGGGTGTAGTTGACTTGTTTGCCTTGCCTTGCCTTGCTTTTCTACCTCGTTACCAAGTTGTTGAGACATACATGTTGTCTTCCTCAGGTTATTGTACCTCATCTTACAGAGTCCTACTCCAGTCAGGTATGTAATGCTACTCTCAGCACGCTCTCTAGTTTGTGTGTGCTTCCACACCCATGCATGCGTGTGTGGGTGATAAAGTGTTGAATTTTGGTCTTGGGAGCTGACTATTTCCTCCCAGAAAATGGTTGTCCGGCGAGACGACTTCTTTTGCTTGGCCTTTCCTCTAGTTGGTGGACGAAGAGAGATACGAGTTATCTGAAGTTTGTAATAATGAAGCTCTGCCAATATGCGTGTGCATCATACAGCAAAGTTTGCACTTCGTGACTTCAGCCTGAGTGGCTAAGTGGTTAGAGATGTGGGGACTGAAACCATATAGGTGCCCGGTTCCGCACTTGTTCACTGAAGTGTTTGTTCTAGTACATATTGCAAGATGATCTATCAGTTTTTTGTGTTCTTTCACAGCAAGACCCTCCTGACATGGATGTGCCATACTGCACCCTCAAATCCTTCCCTGCCACTATTGAGCACACCATACAGTGGGCCAGGGATAAGGTACATACTCTACTGTGCATTGTGCTGTCTCCTCCCTTTTTGTGGCAGAGGGCGCACGCACGTTTGTATAACACTATATCACCACATGACGCCAGGAAGTTTAGGCTAGGTTCGCAATATATATGTCCCTTTGCCCCTTCGCACCTTGCTACATTGTTGCAACAAGAGGATAGAATCCATTTGCTACATTTCCGCATCACGGGGCTAGAATCCATATGTACACAATATGCCATTCGCAACTTTCCGCATTGCCACATCACAGGGCTAGAATCCATTTCTATCTTCCCAGCACGGCGTGACACGGCACGGCACGACACGACAGGGCCAATGCTACCTGTTGTGAACCCGGCGCGACCTGTTGTGAACCCGGTCTTACTCGGATTTTCTCTCTCTTTTTCCTGTCGTTTAGTTTGAGTCGCTGTATACCCAGAAGCCTGCCATGTTCAACAAGTTCTGGTCCATCCATTCCAACCCACGCAAAGCTCTCCTGGTATGTGTATACTCTGTAATGTATGACTAGAACGACAGGTTTTGTTAATGTGCTCAGTTTGCTTGCACGTCACATATGGAAGAAAGACAATGTGCACAAGGCTTAATTTTGTTGCGAAAGTCTTCTATTTTACTACAAGTGCATGTGCACACACTGGCTGATTCCCTCCTTTTATTTCTTCCCTCCCTCCCTCCCTTCTTACTTCAGCACCTGACCGAGAAGTTCATCCCAGATGGTATGGTGAAGGTGACCAAGATGTTGGATCGCAGACCACCGGACTGGGCCAGCTGCATGGCTCTCGCCAGAGTCAAGTTTGAGAAATACTTCAACCACAAGGTTAGCGTGCTCAGCAGCGTACAGTCTTGTCAATATTAGGTCTGTTTTGTGAACTAACTTTAAAAAGGATTGTGACAGTACATATAAGGGTAGGGCCTGGTGAAACTGTCACATTCCAGCTATGGCAGGGTAGTACACTTACTACTGTGGTGCTCTGTGTGTATTGTCCAAAACTGCAGGCTCGCAATCTGCTCCATGCATTTCCCCTGAACACCAAGATGAAGGACGGCTGTAAGTTATTCTCCTTCACACAGAATGCAGTCTATTGCCCCCTCCCTCCTTCCCCTCCTTCCCCCAGCTCTGTTCTGGCAGTCTCCTAAGAGGCCACCTACTCCACTGGATTTTGACCCCACCAACCAACTGTGAGCCCCTGTCTTAGGCTCTGGGTTCACAATAAGTCACGTTGTCCTGTCGCACCACGCCGCAAATGGATTATATACTCTCGTGTAGTGGCAACACGGCACGGAGGCAACGGGGCAATGTGACATATTGTGAGTCTATAGTCTTAGCCTGTGACCTCACTCCATTGGAGCATTGGAGAACCACCATCTGTCAGGTCTTTTGGCAGTTTTTTTTTTCTGGGGAGAGGGCGAAGGGGGGAAAATCCCTCCCCCCCCTCCCAATGGCTTAATCAGTTAGAGTAGTGTTTAACTTGTGCCCCCTCCCCCCCCATTAATTGTCAAGGAACGTATTTTACCTTCTGAAAAACAATATTTCATGTGCAAGCTGTAACTAATTTTTTTCCTCACCACTTCCCTCCAGTCACCTGATGTTTGTGGCGTCCATGGCGAGACTGTATGCCGGGGTGTGTGGAGTTGCCTACACCGAGCAGGACTGTTCCCCGGCCTTCGTGACCTCCGTCCTCCTCTCCATCTCTGTCCCTCAGTGGAGACCCTCCTCCAAGGTATATACTGTACGTACGTATATAGTAGCTGGACATGTTGGGTTGGGGGTTCTTAGCCACTTGCTGGTCGTCCTCAGAAACTGGGAGTTCCCCGTGCTCTTGTGTAAAAGATTCACATGCATAGGAAATAGAAATTGACGACATTGGCTCTGTACAGCGTATTTTTTCCATGGGGAAAAAATTTGTTCTTTTCTTCCTTGAATTTTGAAATTCAAGAATGAAAATATAATGAAAAATACGCTGTATGCCGCAACAAACAATGACACCATGAAAATTAATTTTTCTTACTTCGAACGAAAATGTAACCCAACAAAGGTAGTATTGACTTTGGTATTGCGTAATAAGCCCTCCCTCCCTCCCCCCTTCCTCCCCACCACCTTTTACCTCCCTCTCTCTCCACACTTCCACTAGAGAATTGAAACGGACGTGAGTGCCAAGAAACCAGAGAATGAAGATCTGTCGACTGATGTTCTCACTCTATGTCAACGGCAGCTGGAGAAGAGGGTGGCTAGTGGGGATACCCCTCCTGGTTTGTGCAGTAGTTGTAACCACACGCCCCCTCACAGACCTAACTGCCTAGTTCATGCGCAACCGAGCCTATGTCAATTGCTGATTTTATATTGCACTGTCAGCATACCACAATATTTTTGAACTACACTAGCTAAGGTGCTGAAATTGGTGTGCCCTTTTTAGTCTCATATTAAGCCATTCCACCTGCAACTTTGAAAAAAACATCTGGTGGCTTTTGATCCATACAGTGTCAAGTTAGTCGTAATAATTATTGTCATTTGCAAGGGTAACGTAGTTTCTTCCGTGCAGAGCTACTGACAATGGCTCCACAGCACTTTGAGAAGGACGACGACTCAAACGGACACATTGATTTCATCACCGCTGCTTCGGTGAGTTGGAGTGGAGTTGCTTCTGAAAACGAAAAACGGTATCTAAGCAAATGTAGTATCGAGCTAAATGGGGAAAGAATTCTTTTTGTGATACCGAGCCCGCGTGCCACTCTGGTCAGTTCCTCATGAATACCGGTGTCAACATTCCTTGGTGGGAGCTTAGTAAGGGAGGCAACCACAGTGCTTCATGTGGGTGTCTGAGCACTGCCTTTATTGCGACGGCTGCTCTGTAGTGTTTCTATTACTTTTTGCCACTCTCTCTTCTTCCCTCCCTCCCTTTCTCCCTTTCTCCTTTCAACTCCTTCTGTCACCCTTTCTTCCTCTCCCCTCTTTCTCTCTACCTTCCACTTTCCTCAACCTCCCTCCTTCCTCTCCCTCTCTTCTTCCTCTCCCTCTCTTCTTCCCATCTTCTCTGCTCCTACTGTCTCCCTCCTTCCCTCTCTTCTCTCTCCCTATCTCCAGAACCTCAGGGCCTCAATGTACTCTATTGAGGCAGTAGATAGGTACAGAACTAAGTTGCTAGCTGGTCGTATTGTTCCCAGCCATTGCTACTACCACAGCCACTGTCGCTGGACTGGTATGGCCTTACATTAACATTAAAAGCAATCATACGTTTCCATTCTCAGTAAATTTAGCCATTTTATACTACCACATTGCCCGTAACACATCACTGACCCTCCGTCTGCAAGCACTGTTAGTCGGTCGCTCTGTTTGTTCCAACAGTGTTTAGTAAAGAACTCTTTTTTCCCCTCATTTACCGTTCAAGAGTTACTTCTACATAGCGCAAAAAGCCCATAGTTAATGAGTACTGGCTTACCGTGAACAGCTTTTGCCCACATTGAGCGGCTCAAACACTAATTTAGCAAACGTCATTTTCTCAGGTTCCACGAGTGTACAGAAATATGTATGTGCGACTGTACCGCAATATGTAACACAAATTTTGCCATATTAGGTAAGTATAGAACTGCTGAAGGTGGTGGGTGGGCATCAATTGGAGAGCCTCAAGAATGCCTTCCTCAACCTCGCTCTTCCTACCCTCGTCTTCTCTGAGCCTGCCCCACCCACTAAAACAGTCATCAGGTACATACATGTTGGTGGTGGTTTTTATTTCTCTATCTATCTATCTATCTATCTATATAATAGTATGCTATGAACTATAATTTCATACATACATACATACATACAGTGTAATGCCAGATTTTTAGCTATGTACTGAAATACAGTAGCTACGTTATGGCTAAAGAACTTTTGCGACAAAAACATATTGCGAATCAGGCAACTTCACACCATACTTGACACCCACCAGATCTGTCATCAGGCGTACAT